CTTATACACAAGTAAATCCGCATGAGCAAATAAATATAGAGTCAGGAGGAGAGACCTGCTATGAAGAAAAATAACACAGGGCAAGAATATAGTTGTGTGAGATTGTTGCCTTAGGATGCTCGGCAAAGTTCTTTCCAAGGAAGTGACATCTGCATAGAAACTGAATGATGTAAGAGTAAGAGATCAAGCGTCTGAGTGAAGATCTTTATGGGAGAAGAGCAAGGGCAAAGTGCTTGGGGAAGTAATGAATAAGTGCTTATTATTTTAAGGAACAGCAATAAGACATGGCTGTCTTGGCTGGAGTGTGATGGGAGCGTGATGGGAGAAGTGGGAAATCATAACAGAGATGTAGCCAGGCCGAGATCATGGAAATAGAGCTTTGCAATCCTACTGACAAGAAAGGCATTCACATTTTCCCTTATGTGTAATAGACAGCCATTGGCGGATTACAAGCGTTGTAGAATCCTTTCTAACTCAGTTGCCGTCCCAAGCCGGCATGGGAGAGGATAACACACCTTTGTTCCTTATATTCTGCTGAGACCCTTCCCCATGACCTCTTTAGTCTGGGAACCAATGCCATTTTCCTAGTAACAAGGCAGAGCTGACATGGCATCCTGGGCATTTACAAGCATGTGCATGAGGGCTAAGTATTAAATTATTTTGATGACTACAACGGTTCCAGAAGCCAGCTCGTGAAGTGAGGTTTTTCTAGGAGGGAAGAAGTCAAGATGATAGCTGTGATAAAGGTACTAATACATAGGACTAGGGCTCATTGTAAAAGTCCTGGACCTTAAAATACATACATACATACATACATACATACATACATAAATAAGCAAGCCAAGATTTGAAGAAATAAGTTTTGCAACTACAGAGACGCAGACCCTCTGAAATCAGGGAGTAGAGCGTGAGGAATCTTTATGGAGTCAGAAAGTGTCTGGAAATTCTGGGGAGATGGTTCAAGCAGCATTTTGTGGGGGAAAGCAACCCAGGACTAGTGCCCCTACCCAATGGCAAATCTGTAACTTTGTGTCAGTCAATAAAACTTTCTCACGTTTGTTTTCTAAATTCCTTTCAGGCATGTCATCTGTTTGACTTCACAACTTTGGGAGATGGGCAGAACCGGTAAGAGCTTTTATATTGATAGATGGGGGGGGGGGGGGAACCTGTGGCTCATAGAAGCAAAGTCATCAGTTCAAGGTCATTGTGCTGTTCTGCTTATTAAGGAACAGAGACAAGGATAGGATGTAGGTCTTTTGATTCCTGAGTCAAAACTCCATACTTTAGAACATGCTCTTTTATGAGGATTGTAGTGATATTAAAAACACAGCTGACATTAGCAGAAGGAAGGGAAAAATTAAGGGGGCGGCAATCAGAGGGGGAGATGAACCATGATAGACTATGGACTCCGGGAATCAAACTGAGGGTTTTAGAGGGGAGGGGGCTAGGGGATAGCTTAGCCCAGGGACAGGTATTAAGGAGCACACATATTGCATGGAGCACTGGGTATTATACACAAACAATGAATCATGGAACTCTACATCAGAAACTAATGATGTACCGTATGCTGACTAACAATACATAGTTTAAAAAAATAGTTGATCCTTGAGCCCCATAGGTTTGATCCACTTATACATGGTCATTTTTGATAAAAACAGTAAATCCACTTTCTCTTCCTTATGATTTTAACATTTTCTTACTTTATTGTAATAATACAGTATGTAATACATATAACATAAAAAATATGTGTTAATTGTTTATGTCCTTGTTAAGGTTTCTGATCATCAATAGGCTATTGTTTAAGTTTTGGGGGAGTCAAAAGTTATATGCAGATTTTTGACTGTGTGAGGGCTGATGCCCCTAACCCCTGTATTGTTCGAGGGTCAACTAAACATAGAATGAATGAAATTTTTAGGAGTTAAAAAATAATAAATGCCTAATAGCCCAAAAGAAGGAAACTTAGTCTAGGAAGTAAAGTATGATATACAGAGAAATCGAGAAAGCAGACTGATCTAGAACATGGACTGGAGGTGCCACATTCTTTCTTGAAATACCAGGAGAATGGAGAATTCATCAGATGACTTCCCAAGGCCTTTTCTGGTCTCCAGAGTCTAGCTCATGAGCTTGTCCTCTTCAGAGTTAAATCCAGCTCTTCAATCAAGTTGCTAGAATAAAAAATTACTCATATGTAAGTGTTGCTCAAGTGTATACATTTCACTTCCATACACCTCAGGCTTTCACATATTATATACTGACACCCCTGAAGTGTCTTTCCAATAGCAAATTCATACTTTCAACTGTCAGTTGGCAAATAATTCTTTTGATCTGTCAGTGAACAGTTTAATTTTCAAAGTATCACCATTTATATATATCTTTACAGCTATGTTTCCATTATTATTTAAATACCTTTGCATACCCCCTTAGTCTAAGAAACAAAAGCAAATATTTTTTCAAGTTATTTATTTTTATTTTTTATTTTTAGTGACCTCCACATCTAGTGTGGGGCTTAAACTCATGACCCTGAGATCAAGAGTCACCTGCTCTACTGACTGAACGAGCTAGGCACTCCTAAGTTTTCATTTTAATCATCACAATAAGTACATTCCTTAATCCTCATCAACAAAAGGCATTTTTTTTTTTAAATAGCACTACCTGATGATTGTAGTAACACTGAAACGAAGACCAAATAATCTTGAAACAAACGCAGAATTCATCTAGAGGGCTAAAAAGGACACTTTTTTTTTTTCTTAAAGGCAATTTTTGACCCCAATACAATACTTAACTGTGTGTTCAATTACATTAAAAGAACATGTATTCATTATTCAGAACAAAATTCTAGAAATGTGTGGTTGATGATTCTGTTACAAGATGTAGGATATAGCAATGGAGGAAATGGACAGATCCTAAAATTACAAATGGATAAGCAACATAAAATATTTCAGTGTTAAGGATACAGAGAAAATTTCCAAGAGCTAAAAGAATTGTGGGTAAGATAAAGACCTTTATCAAAGGAGCAAAAGGAGCCTTCCAATTTTTAACAGTTTACAAGAAACTGATAAAATATCAGCAAATACACCATCAAAAAGTCCAATTACTTTTGTGCAAAATCATCAATATGAAATGTCTTCTTATATGTGTCACTTCAAATATGGTAGACAATCAAGAAATATAAAATATAATTTTATAAAATTATAAAAAATAACTTTATTGCATTTATTTTTATTTAATCTATGTACAACAAAGACTATTGTCATCTGCTTAATCACATATCCACAGCACCCAGCAGAGGAAGAACAAGAAATAAATCATGTTGTTCCACATCTTATTGGAATCAAAGAGTTATTAATAATCAAGGGGCAAAAACTAAACACTCATATCATAACTAGTGATTTATTATGATCACATTTAAGACTATTGCTTAACCTATGTACATTCGTATTTCTTTTTTTTCTTTTTTTCTTTTTTCTTGTTTTTTTTTTAGATTTTATTTATTTATTTGACAGAGAGAGATCACAAGTAGGCAGAGAGGCAGGTAGAGAAAGAAGGGGGGCGGGGAGCAGGCTCCCTGCTGAGCAGAGAGCCCCATGCTGTGCTGGATCCCAGGACCCTGGGATCATGACCTGAGCGGAAGGCAGAGGCTTAACCGCTGCGCCACCCAGGTACTCCTACATTTGTATTTCAAACACAATTTCAAAATGCATCCAGTAAGGAATAGCCTCTAGTCTCAATTCACTTGACCAGAACTGATGCCATTCCTAGAAGTTTAAATAGGGAACGGATAGCATGGTATAGAAAAGGAAAGAATGGAGTAGAGGAAGGAAAGAAGAAAGAAAAAGAAAATGAAAGAAGAGAGAAGAAAAAGAGACAAAAAAAAAAAAGAAAGAAAAAAGATTTTCAGTTCCACAGTTAACCAAGACCTACACTAAAACATTTCTTTCTGGGCCTGTTTCCTCACCTATAAAAGGTAATTCTCAGTTCCAAAATGTCAATAGAAAAAAAAAAAAAAAAAGAATAGCTTGAAAATGAAGAAAGGTCAGGTTTTCCCTGTCATCTCTGACTTTCCTTCTTATTCTTTTTTTAGAGGTGTTGTGTGTGTTTGTGTGTGTGTGTAAGATTTTATTTGTTATTAGAGAGACAGAGCACAGAGGGAGCGTGTGAGAAAGAAGCAGCCTCCACACTGAGCAGGGAGCCCATGTGGCTTAATCCCAGGACCACCACGGAATAAGAGGCTTAACCCACTGAGCCACCCAGGCGCCCTTCCTCCTCCTCATTCTTAAATCACCCCATCCCTGCTCCAAACTCCGTCACTCCCTTTTCAACACCGTCAAGGCTTTCCGCTCAGACCACTACCGCACCCTCAGTTCACCGGCACTCCTCTAGTTCCCCTCCTAGCACGGTGATTCTTACCTCCAAGTATTGGGGAGCTGGCAGTTGATAGAGTCTCAGCCACACAGAACCAGTTCAGAGGAGGCTGTGAAGAGGGGGACCATTTCCTCTGCTCAAGGCAGGAAGGTGGCGGTGGAGCAGGGCTCAATGTCCTGTGGCTGAGTTCTGAGAGCAGCTAAGTGTTAGCACATTGCACTACCACTCTGCGCTCCTCACAGCACTCTGGGAGGTGAGCGCTGCTGTTCTTATTTTCAAAATGAGGCTTCTAGAAACGAGCCCAATGCCGTCCAACTTGAAAGGGGCATTGGCTGAATTCGAACTCAGGTAAAACAACAACAATAACAAAAAACCTCTGCACTTGCCCCCAACTATATTAGAGAGATTGGTTTAGGCCCAGGAAAGAGGCCCAAGGGAGAAAATTGAGCAGTTGCGCGACAGGTGGCAGAGGCGGGGAGGGAGGGGCTGCAGGCTACGGAGACCCGCCCACGCGCCGTGCTTAAGGCAGGAGCCCCCTTAAGGGAAGGGGGCTTTTCCTCCCCCGACAAAAAATAACTCTTCAACTGGGAGGGGAGTTCCCACCGAGTGCCACCCGCGGAAGGCGGAGGGCTGGGCAGATGGAAGAGGAGGACCCGGCCGGTCGGCGGAGACCGGAGAAGGAGGGTTCGGAGAGATGGGAGGAGGCAGCCGAGGAGGGACAGCAGTCTCGGGTGTGGGCCAACCGGGTAGAAGGGGACCAGCGAGACCTGTTGATGGGGCTGAGCGGCCAAGAAAGCCGGGAGGCGGCGGAGCCCCCTGGGGTTCCGGAGGCGACGGACACGGAGGAGGCGAAGGAGCCGAGGCCCACGGGCTCGGGCGGCGGGAGCAGAGAAGGGCGGGCGGGGTGGGAACCCTCCGAGGCGAGGGGCGGGGAGAGGGCGGCCCCCGGGGGAGGGGCGGCGGCGGGGCTGGAGGGAGGGAGCGGCGGAGAGGGGCGGGGAGAAAGGGACCGGGTGGAAGCCGAGGGGCAGTCCCGGGAGGCCGTGAGTATCAGCAGCCCAGAGGAGGAGTTGTGGAGCCTGGGCGTCCCGGGGCCCAGGAAGCTCCGGGAACGGTACTGGGAGGGCACCCAGGAGCGCTACCGGGAGAGGGAGGTGAAGCGCAAGGCCAAGGGCGCGAGGCCGTTCCAGAGTAAGTACAAGCTGGAGAAGAAGCCCAACTGGCTGAAGAACCCGACACTGGTGGGGACCGAGCCGAGGGAGGTCCTCAAAGTGAAGACTGACGAAAACTTGGGCAACTGGGTGTCGGGGCAGCAAAGCCAGCGGGCCACGGTTCGATTCAACGTCTACCCCAGACCTCACCTCCAGTCGCAGTGGCCCATCTGCCGCCACTCGGTCAGTGTCATTAACGAGCTGGCCAAGATGGGCGATCCAGATGTCCTGGAGATGGTGCAGGAGGAAGGTAGGAGCCGGCGGACTCAGTGGCGCGGGGGAGGGCCGGGCTGGGAGCGCGGGGACCCCGGGGGACGTTGGCGGCCCTGCGGCCTGGATCCCGGGGACGTTCTCGGGGTGGCGTGCCCTGCGCGAGACAGCGGCTGCAAGACGCACAGTCCCTAACCCCGGCGGGTGGCTGGGTGTCAGCGCACCGTGATTTCCCCTGCCGCTCGCGCTAGCCCGGGACCTGCGTCCTGAGACCCCGGAGGTTCCGAGAGCGCCGTGCTGCTCCAGTGTGCGCCGCCGGGCGGTGGACTAATGCGGGCGGCAAGGCGAGAGCGCTGGCCGCGGGAGCTGCGGCGCTCTGGCCTCAGATTCCCACGCGGAGCCGCGGTTTGGATGTGTGACAGCGGTCCCCGGTGTACGGAGCTAGCCCTTGAGTTCTTCTGCCTCTCTTCATTTGCCAATTACTGATCAAGCTGCGAGATCCTTGGTAATTAGGCGAGGGGCAGAACCCTACGGTCCCTGGGCTTGAGATTCTTGTGCACCTGGAAACGCTGCTGTTTTACTGGCTTTCACTGAATCTTCAGTTCCGTTGAGAAATATATGTTCATTGTTTGCTAAGGCCGTTGCACAGACCTATGTTCTGTGGATCTTTTTCAGTACACACATATGCCTAAGAATGCACGTATGTTTTTGGGACTATCTCCAGGACTCTCAATGACACTCACTTCCCTCGGAGACACTCTCTTTTCATGTCTTGTTTGGTATTAGGACTGAACATGGAAACAGTTTTTTTTAAGTGATAAAACATCCAAGTAGGCCTTATTATTGAGTCTTCAGAGTCACCAAGAAATACAATGCATTATTGAGTCCTCCTCTCTTTTCTTAACAATTTTATTGACATGTAATTTAGATACCGTAAGTCATCTATTTGAAGTGTACAATCGGTGCTTTTTAGTGTATTTACGGTTTTGCAATCATCTCCTCAAATAGAAACCTTAGCCAATAGAAACCTTAGCTGTCACTCCCCATCCCCCTACTTCCTACACTTAGTTCTAGGCAGTTATTAATCTATTTACTGTCCAAATGTACCTATTCCGGACACTTCCTAAAAAACAGACTCTTATATTGTGTGGTCTTTTGTAACTGTTTTCTGTCTCTCACCATAATGTTTCTGAAGTTCATCCGTGTTGTAATTTGCCTCCTTCCTTTTTATTGTGATGTACTACTCCATCATTATAGACATACCACAATTTATCTAGTCATCAGTTGGTGGAAAATTGGGTTGTACCTTTTTTTCCCATCACCACAGATAATGCTGCTCTGAAATTCATGGACATGTTTTTGCATGAACACACATTTTTTCCTAGAGACAGAATGCTAACATTTTACCTTTTAGACATAATATTTAATGAGGTGTTTCTAGGATTTGTTATGTTTTCTTTGTTTATTTTCTTCAAAATTGAATACATAAGCAATCAATCTTATCCAGTTAGCTGTTTTCCCACTATCTAATAATTTTTAAACTGAATTGTAAAGGCAATGAGTAAATATATATGTGTATATGTGTGTTTGCGTGTGTACTTTTAAATGATTTATTTATTTACTTTTGTGAGAGAGAGAGAATGAGTGAGAGGGGCAGAGGAGAGGGAGAGAGAACCTCAAACTCTGCACTGAGCATTGAGCCCGATTCAGGTCTCAATCTCAGGACCCTGAGATCATGACCTGACTGGAAACCAAGAGTTGGTCACTTAACCAACCTTGCCATCCAGGCACCCCAAGTATAACAATGTTTAAATAGTTCATAAACAGATACTGCTGGTAAAATGTCAGTGTTGCTGAAATTGAACTATTGACTGCTTGACATTGTAAGGAAGTTGTGATTTGAAATATTCATTCTTTAGTTAGTTTATGACACATTCAACATGGCAAAAGACAGTTTTAAGGGTTTAACATTAGAAAAGACACAAGTAAAGTTGAATGTAAAGTTGCTTGAATCTTTACAACTGCTTTAAGCATTGTATTTAGCCAAACCACCCTTCCTTTAGGATTGTGAATATTTGAGTGTATGCATTTTGTTTTAGGCTGCTGGAAGAGGTGTAAACTGAGAAGATTATTTGGTAAATGCAAGGGCTATTTTTGGGCTCAGGGTTTGTTGGAGTGTGTATTCTTAGCAATGTGCTTTCAGAGAAAACTCAAAGCCCAGTCTTTGGGTTGGCTTTACTTTTGCTCATATTTTATGATTCTCCATAGCATTTGATGTTAAACCTTTTATATCTCTGGTTTCAAGCCCATAGGAAGAGTGTAATTATTTCTACTGATTTTAGAGGATGCCGGAGGAATGACAAGAGGCTGATTTAAGAGTTGTTGGCTTCACAACCTGCCTCAGATATGTTTGTTTTGACAAAGGTTTGGTGATTATGTGTAATTATGACAATTTCATACTTTGTGAGTGAGTGTGACAGTTTGTGTCTCTGGCATGTGCGAGCATCTGATTGTGCATGTGTGTGTCAGAGAGACAGAGCTAGTGTCAGCACTATGTGTGAGAGAGAGCACAGTGTGTGAGGAAATATATCTGTTTTTTTCTAATCTTTCTGCTTTTCAAAAAAGGGATAGTTTACAAAGTGTGTCCCACCTGGCTCTGGGGGCTTGCCCTCTCACAAAGGGTGATGTAATTGGGCTGGGTACCCAGAGAGGGCACCATTGGGGTGGGGGGAGCAGGAAGGAGACAAACACAGGGGACAGAGGAGGAGGTTTCAGGCCAGCACTGAAAGGAGAATGTCAGGAAGGATACAGTGTGAAAAATGAGCAATAGTTAGTTAAGGAAGAAGAGAGTTGTTAGTTCTAAGGAAGGAAAGCAAGTTGAAAAGGAAATGGGTAAGAGAATTAGTAGGGGTAGGAAATAACCTGGAGGAGCTGTGTTCTCCCTTTTCCACATTCTCAAATAAACACACTGCATCCAGCTCAGATAGCAACTTGAAAATGTTTTGTTTCTATGAGTTGTTTTATGTTAAATGCAGCAAAAACGCTAAGGAGAAGGAAGGGTTAGTGCTTACAGTTTTTCAACTCTCTCTTCTAAAAAACAGAATTCTAAAATACTCTATAATCCTAACTTAAGGTTTGCACTTCTTCCCTCTGTATTCTGAACAATTCTTGTGCATAATGACTCTTTTTGTTCTCAAGAAAATAAAAGCCTCTCCTCAGTCAGAATTCAAGTACTCTACATTGAAAGACAAAGCATGTATTCCTTGGAATTCTATTTTTTGTGTACTTATTATAAGAGTTTGCTAGATTGGTTTTTTTCTCATTCAAAAAATCCAGTGAAAGGTGGTCACCATATTGGGTAATTTTGAGCTCTACATCTAGAAAGTACTCATGGGTAAAACATTTTGGTGATGGTGCTGGACTATGTTTTATATCTTTTAAATAATTTTTATTTATACTTTTAGTCTTTTAGATGAGAAAGCCTGCACTTGGAAAAGTTAAATGATACAGCTATAGCCACAGTTTAGTTTTTGTGCTTTGCTATTGCTTTTGCTATTGACTTTTTAATAGCAGACCCTGCAACAAAAAAAGATCTGAATACCAAGGAAGTTCTTTTGTCTTTATTCTGACACTCTCAAATTTGTCTCAAAGAATTTAAGATTTGAAAATCAGTAACAGAATATATCCTAATAATAATAACAATATTAATAAAAATAACTTAGATTCATTGACCTCTGCGCCCTCATAGCTGCATGAAACACTTCACATGCATTATCTCATTTAATGCTTGCACAGACCGGATGAGGTGGACATTAATCCCATGTATATATGATACTTGGAGGCTTTCAATTTATGCATATAAATTTCAATTTATGCAAGGAAGGCTGGGATATGTGCGTTTTGTTTTGGTTTTGGTTTTGCTAGAGCACATTGCTTCACCAGTAATTAGCATTTTATTAGTGAAGAGGAAGGTGGAGAAAGGATACTTCTGGGCAGCCAGTGGCAGCCTCTCCTGTATTTGCCCACCATTAACAATCTTACCCATTTTATTAAATAGAATCTTCTCAAATTGCTCAAGCCTAGGAGGGTCCTCAACTTGTACATCTGAAATTTGACAGCAGTTTATTTCAAATGTTTACATAAGTATCTGTGAGTCATTGATGTGTTTTCACACACACTTGCCCCCACTGCAGCAGAGACAGCCACACCTTCTTCCTGGTTTACTGGTTTACTGCAGCAACTCCTAATTTGTCTCTTTGGTCCATCCCTGTGCCTTCCTTTTAACCCATTCTTCACTCAGGGACCTGTGCTTTCCATACAGTGTAAAAATATATATGACTTAAAAGTTTTTTTGTGGGGGGACCTGGTGGTTCCATTGGTTCAGCATCTGACTCTTGATCTCAGCCCAGGTCTTGATCTCAGGGTCATGAGTTGAAGCCCCTGCATTGAGCTCTACCCTGAGCTTGGAGTCTACTTAAAAACAACAACAACAACAAAAATAAAAACCTCCTTTGTGGCTATTTTACTTAGAAAAAAAAAAAAATCCAGGTATACAGAGTCTTCCACAAACTGTCCCCAACTCTGTGCCTCTCTGTTCTGTCCTGCCCCTCAACCTCACCTCCTCATCTCCAGCTTGACCTTCGCTTCTTTGAACACGTCAAAACCATTCCTGCCTTCCAGAATTTATGTGTTCTCATACAGCTTGAATGTGCTCAACTTTCATACTTGATCTTAGCCAAAAGGCTGAGAAGCGATGTGTGCTCAACTTTCAGATCTTAGTGTATATATTCCTGCCTCAGAGAGATTTTTTTTTTTAAAGATTTTATTTATTTATTTGATAGAGACACAGTGAGAGAGGGAACACAAGCAGGGGGAGTGGGAGAGAGAGAAGCAGGCTTCCAACTCAGCCCGATGTGGGGCTCGATCCCAGGACCCTGGGATCATGACCCGAGCTGAAGGCAGATGCTTAGCAACTGAGCCACCCAGGTGTCCCTCAGAGAGATTTTTTGAATTTCTCATATCTAAACTACTCCCCTGCCCAGCTCTGTTTATAGCATTTATCTCAAATTTTGGTCTGCTTCCTCTGCAGAACTGAAACTTCTTAACAATGGAGAATCAACACATGTTAGCTATTATCACATTATTATCATTGTTATGTTAATGATCCAATATTGAGAACTGTTAAAGGTCTGAAGCTGGAAGTTAACAGAATATCCCATTACAGTTTCATGGATACTGGTAGAAGATATAAGACACATGGGTCAGAGACAAAGGACAGTTTATTACTCACAGCATTCACAGTAGCCTGAGTAGCAGGATTTTCTTCCCATTTCTTGGGCCCAAGTTGCCAAAAATCAACTCAAAGAGACCCAGAAAATACCTGCGTATGTGGTGGGTTGTAATACAGGAGAGCAGTCTCAAGTTAAGGAACTTGAGCCTTTTGTTCTAGTCAGTAATTATGCCTTCTGTTTGCTCTGGAGGAAGACACCACTGCAGTACTCCCAGATGTGAGCAAACCTGCCCTTTGCTACAGAAGGAGATGCTGTATCTTCCAAGGTGTTCACTCAACCAGGATCCTTTAAAAGATAATCCAGAACAGAGGTCAGTCAATGTCTCACTTGCAAGAAACACAGAAACATGAGAGACCCACAGAGAATTGTCTCTAAACAATATCTGCCTTTAAGTATTCATCCTTAAGTAACATACTTGGGTTTTGCATAATTAACTTTATGTAAGTGAAATATTAAAGTTTCTGCCCCCCCCCTTTTTTTTGCTAAATAATATTTTTTGGAGATTTATCCATCTTTTTGCATATAATTGAAATTCATTCAATTTTGTTACTAGATACAATACCTAGTATTATTATATATATTATTGGCTATAATATCACATACTTGTATTTATCCATTTCACTATTTCTGGATATTTGAGATGATTCCCAGCATGAAGATATTGAGATGATACTCCCAGCAATACTTTTATGGACATTCTTGTACATTCCCATAATGCCTGTATTTCTTTTGAGTATACCTAAGATAGCACATCTCAAACATTTTGATCTCAGGATCTCTCTTCATACTTTAAACAATTATTAGGAACCTCAAAGAGCTTTTGTTTATGTGAGTTATGTCTGTTGTTATTTACTAAGGATTTCCATTTTTACCTGTTCTATTAAAAATAGTATTAGAAGTTCTCACCAGACTATTTGGCAAGAAAAAGAAATAAAAGGCATCCACATTGGAAAAGAACAATTAAAATTCTCTCTATTCACAGATGATATGATCTTATATGTAGAAAACCCTAAAAAAGTACCCCCCAAAACCTCTTAGAACCTATAATGCATTGATAAAAGCAGAATACAAAGTCACTACACAAAAATACAGTTGCAGTTTTGTACACTAACAATGAACAATCTGAAAAGGAAATTGGGAAAACAATCCTATTTACAGAATAAGAGACATATCGACAAAAAGGTTGCTACAGCTAATGTCAAAAAAGTTACTGCCTTCCAGGATTTTTGTGGTTTCAGGTCTGACATTTGGGTCTTTAATCCAGGAGTGCACTTGTGATGAACACTGGGAGATGTATGGAACTGTTGAAATTTCTTATTGTACACCTGAAACTAATGTAACACTGTTAACTAACTGAAATTAAAATGAAAACTTAAGAAAAGAACAATATTTAAGAATTAACCAAAGATTGAAAGACTTATATAAATAAAACTATAAAACACTCCTGAAAAAAAATTTTAAAAATGCAAACATACCTCATGTTCATAGATTGGAAGACTTAATAAGATGTCAATACTAACCAGAGTGATCTATAGATTCAGTGCAGTCCCTATTAAAATTCCAATGATGTTTTTTGCAGAAATAGAAAAACACATCCTAAAATTCATGTGAACTCTCAATGAATGCTGAATAGACAATCAATCTTAAAACAGAAAAATAAGGGGCACCTGGGTGGCTCAGTGGGTTAAAGCCTCTGCCTTCAGCTCTGGTCATGATCCCAGGGTCCTGGCATCGAGCCCCACATCAGGCTCTCTGCTTAGCAGGGAGCCTGCTTCCCCCTCTCTGCCTGTCTGTCTGCTTATTTGTGATCTCTGTCTGTCAAATAAATAAATAAAATCTTAAAAAAAAAAAAAAAGAAGAAGAAAGCTGGAAGATTCACACTTCCTGATTTCTAAACTTACCACAGAGCTACAGTAATAAAAACAGTGTGGAACTGGCATGAAGACAGACATAGACCAATGGAATAGAATAGAAAGCCCAGAAACAAATTCTCACATATATGATCAAGTGACTTCTGGGGAAAGGACAGTTTTTTCATCAGATGGTGCTGGGAAATTTGGATACCCACATACAAAAGAATGAAATTGGACCCTTACCACCACCATATACAAAAGTTAACTCAAAATGGATCAAACCTAAATGTAAGACCTAAAGCTATCAACCTCTTAGAAGAAAAGAGAGCAAGTTTCATAATGTTGGATTTGGCAGTGTGACACCAAATGCACATGCAAGAAAAGAAAGAGACAAAATGACCTCATGAATATGAAAAAAAAATTGTGCATCAAAAGATACTATAAACAGTCTAAAAAAGCAAACCACAGAGTGGGAGAAAATGTTTCCAATTCATATATCTGATTCGGAATATATAAGGAACTCCTGAAACTCAACAATAAAAAAAATTCTGGTTAAAAAACAGGCAAAGGATTTGGATACACATACATAAAAATATAAAATTGGCCAATAAGATCATGAAAAGATGCTCGATAGCAAAATCATTAGCAAAGTGCAAATCAAAACTAACGTGAGCTACCGCCTCAAAGCCATGAAAATGGCCACTATCAAAAAAACAAAAAAGTAAAAGGATTTGTTGAGAATGTGGAGTCATTAGAATCTTAAGGACTGTTGATGAGAATGTATAATGGTAGAGTTGCTGTGGAAAACAATAGGGCATTTCCTCAGAAAACTAAAATTTGAATCGCCATACGATCCAGCAATTCCACTTTTCAGTATATGCTCAAAATAATTGAAAGGAGGATCTCAAAGGGATATTTTTACAGCCATGTTGATAGCAGCATTATTCCTAATAGCTAAAATATGGAAACAGTTCCAAGTGTTCATTAACAGATGAGTGGATAAATAAAAGATGCTATACACATACAGTAGAATATTATGTAGCCTCAAAAAGGAAGGATATATGCTACAACATTGATGAACCTTGAGGACATTATGCTAGGTGAAATAAACCACTCACATAATGACAAATTCTGTATGATTCCACTTTTATAAGGTACATAGAGTAGTCAAGACTGTAGAGACAGAAAGTAGAATGGTGGTTGCCAGGGACTGGAGGAGAGGAGAATGAGGAGTTATTGTTAATGGGTATTGTGTTTCAGTTTTATAAAATTTAATTCTGGAGATAGATGGTGGTGATGGTTGCTCAATATTATGAATATATTTAGTACCTTTGAACAATACACTTAAAAATGGTTAGATAGTAAAGTTTGTTATCTATATTTTACACAATAAAAAAATGGGGAAAGGACAGAAAAAAAAGAAAGAAAAAAGAAATAGAAAGAGGTATACAAGTGGTAGATTTGTATTTTCTATATTTTTAGAAAATATGTGAACACTTCCCAAGGTTAGGGTTACTGTGGATGGCCCTTTATTCCATTCCTATTGTGATTTTCTCCAAAAAATGTTTTTATATAGGAAGGATTTGACTTGAAAAGTATTTCTCAGTGTTTCTCCAGTGTAGAATCACTAGAGAATAAAAATCTTCTATGTTTAATTTTTTTAGCATCAGAAACTTATTCGAGGATGTATTTCAGCCCAAATGACTTAACACATAACTATCACAAAGATACTCATGTGTATGAGGAAAGTCATTTGGCCTGTTTAGAACTGGTGGTGTCCTTCAGTGCTTTCCTTGCAGACAGTTGGGTTCAATTCCAGGAGACCACGCTGACAGAATATTAAATCTCACACAGTGAAAACTAAGAGGTAACGATGGACATCCCTATTGGATGCTTTCCTCTTTGCAGTTTTGTGGCTACAGATTAATAACTGCATTTATTAGAGTTAATTTTATTTCTCAGTGGGTAAGATTATACTTTACACATCAGTGCTTATTTTTCCCCGGGTTATAGACAGTTTTTGGTGCTGACTTCTACTGACAGCTATTTTGAACAACTTCGCTCCAGGAAGGTTTTGGATGCTTCCTTCCGGTATTTTTTCTTTGAACATTTTTGTTTAATTTTGGAATTTCTTTTTTCTCCTCATGTAGACTTTTAACCTATTCTGATCAGTTGGTCATTCTAACATGTTTTTTTTTCCTTTCTTATTTAATTTAGAGAGACTATCCAATATAGAAGCAGAATATGTTTTCGGAATGAATGAGGTAAGTTAAATGTGTATGTATTCGCTTCTTATAAGTCAGAACAGAGAATCAAGACAAGGTTAGAAATGTACTTCATCTGCATACTTGGGTCTTTGTAATTTATTATTTACTCATACTACATTCTTCTTATTTTGTCCTCTGATCTATTCATGTTTTTGGTAAGGAAAGCAAATTCCATATTTCATACAGATTTAATATTCGATCTTTCTAGATGTGATAAGGGGGCAAATATAAGTTTGGATTAGTTTTGAGGCTCCCTGTGAAACAAACTCAGATATTCTGAGTCTTGCAGTATAAGAGAAGAATATTTGGCTTAACTTTGTTAGAGTATAATGTGGGTGGGATATGTGACAGCTTTTTATGTTACCCTTATTGGCATGTGAAGAGTGCTTATTGATGACTATGCTACATTTGAACGACTCAACTCAAATTAAGTACATATATTAAATAAAATAATAATAAAATTAAATACAAGTTGTAAAGGTAAAAAAAAAAACTAAAGGCCTTATTTTATTTATATAAACTTGCAAAAATATACTAAAAATTCACATGTCTTGTATACAGAATATAGGCATTCTAAAGATATTTTGGATAAAATAATCTTTCTGATAGGCTCTAGCTGACACAAAAGCACTCACAGAAGTAGGCTTCTTTGAATTGGGTTGGGGTGTTGAGCCAGATAGGAAAAAAGTTCTTTAAAAATAGATAGTTTTTTAAGAATGACTGAAATTCGCACCGTGGAAAACACAACCCACCAGATAGATGGACTGAATAAGCTGGTTGACTTAAGATTTACAGAAGTTCTGGGATTCCTTTAAAACCTGTGACCAGAATGCTGGGAGAAATAGAATATGGCAACCAAGGAGACTATGACAATCATTTAGTTCAGTGACTTTTACAGTGTAGTTTGTAGACCACCTGAATAACAATTATATTAAAATTTTCTTTAAAATGTAGACTCCTGGGTCCAATCTTGGACTGCTGATCATATTACTGGGGAATAATGTTATAGAGTCATGAATTAAAATAACACCCCAAGTGATCTTTATTGTTACTGAAGTTTGAAAACACTGTCACAAAGCAGAGTCTCCACAACTTAAAGTGATGTAATATGACCCAGGGAACATATTTATTAAATAAGTAAGTGTATCAAGGTCACTATGTGAAAAATAACACAAAAATATTGTATGTCTCTGGAATGGACTGAAGAAACAGTTATCATATGAGATTTACTGATCCAATTTAAATGGTAATAAATAGATTGTCATTTTCATGTTGTTCATATTGACATAATAGTAATATACTCCTCACAGATCTCTATATGCATTGCTGAAGTTAATTTCAATTACAGTTCATTTCTTTGCTTCTGTGTGTATCTCTCATTTGCATACACACACTCTAGACTTAAACTTCTATAATAGAAAAACAATTTCATCAAGTCATATTTGTTCTGTTCCTTATCTCTTTGCATATTTAAAAAGCAACGAATATTGCTTCCTTGCTTTCAACCTTGGATGGGTCTTCATTTGAAACAATTTTGCTTAGATTTTTAAGGCTTTACATTTGACTTAACTTTTTTCATATAAAGTACTTCGGAGTAAAAATAGCATCTCTCTGAAACATAATTAAAGAATGCCTAATAAAGGTTGGAATTATTAAATGAATATATTATCAAATTAATCAGCCCAAAAGTAGCTTTTACTTCCAGAAAGATGGAATAGAAAAAAATTTCCCTGTTCCTTCTGCTAAATACTACTAAAAACCTGGGCATTATATATAAAACAAGAAGACTCTGAAAGTTAGAGAGAGGAAGAAAACTGTCTAGTGACCTCAGGACCCAAGGGACAACACTGAAGTTAGTTCGCTAGGTTTTAGTGAGGAGACTAGGCTTTAACCCCTGTCTGGTGATAACAGGATGCCCCAAATCCTCCTAGAGTTTGTGTCAAAGAACTGTGAATGAGGAGCCAGGACTTTCATCCCCACTGGATGTTAACATGTCCATCTCTCACAATCCCCTGCATGAAGTCAGTGGAGACCATGTAAGCAGCTAGACTTCCTCTCTCATCAGTAGCAATAAGGTGCCCAACCCTTTTCTGCCGGGTTGGTATTAGAGGTAGCCCAATGGAGAGCCAGTAGTTTCACCACGGTCTGGGAGAAAAGCCACCTCATTATCTCTCCCTGACAGTGAAGGCCATGTGGGGAACAGGAGGAGGCACCCTTGCCCTTTCTAGCCAGCTTGGGATCAGTGAAGGTCTGATGGTAAGTTTGAACCCCCAACACCAGCCAGCATTAATGAGAAACACTTCTACCACCTTTACCACCATTTCATGTCCACAGAGGCTGAGTGGGGAACCTGGACTTCTACTTGCATGAGCTAGTGATCAGATACCACCAGAGTAGTATCAGAGGAGACTTAATAAAATATAAGGTTTGGGGCGCCTGGGTGACTCAGTTGGTTAAGCAACTGCCTTTGGCTCAGGTCATGATCCTAGAGTCCCAGGATCTAGTCCCACATCAGGCTTCCTGCTCGGCAGGGGGGTCTGCTTCTCCGTCTGACCTCTCCCCTCTCACGCTCTCTCCTCCCATTGTGTCTCTCAAATAAATAGATAAAATATTTAAAAAAAAACAAAAGGTTTAAAGAAAATCTACTCATAATATAATACTCAAAAGTTCTAAAGTCCAGACTTCTAGAGGAAAGTCAAATGTAATACCAAGAACCAGAAGGATAGCAGCTTGAATGAGAAAAGACAGATAACAACACTGAGGTGACCCGGGTGTTAGAATTATTGAGATAAGGATTGTAGAGCAACATAATAATGCTTCAGTGAGTATTTGTGAACATTCTTTGAACAAATAAAAAAATAGAATTCTCAGCAAAAAAAAAAAAAATAGAAGTTTTAATGAAGAACATAATGGAAAGCTTAAAACTGAAAAATAGAATAACTGAAATTAAAAACAAAAAACAAAAAACAAACAAACAAAAAAAAACCCTCAACAGCAAAGTGGAAAGGATAAAAGAAATCACTGAATCTGGAGATAGAATAGAAATTTTTATTTGTCAAAAGACCTAAAACTACAAATTCAAGAATCTGAGGGAACCACAGAAATAAGTAAGTCCAAAGAAATTCACACCAATTCACAAAACTAGATACAAGAAAAAGAAAATTTTGAAGGCAGTGAGAGAGAAACAACGTCTTAACTACAAGGGAACGATAATTAAAATTGCTGTAGATTTCTTATCAGAAATCGTGAGGCTGAAGGAACTGGTACACATGTTTTTTCAAATACAAAGAAAGAAGGAAAGAAAGAAAGAAAGAAAGAGAAAAGAAAAAGAAGAAGAAAAAGAAAAAAAGCCAATCCAGAATTCTACAGCCACTGGTACACATGTTTTTTCAAATACAAAGAAAGAAAGAAAGAAAGAAAGAAAGAAAGAAAGAAAGAAAGAAAGAAAAAGAAAAGAAAAGAAAAAGAAGAAGAAAAAGAAAAAAAGCCAATCCAGAATTCTACAGCCAGTGAAAATATCCTTAGAAATGAGCAAGACGTTCTCAAGTGAAGAAAGTGAAAGAAGACTGAGGAAACTTTTTACAAATTTTTACCAGCACATCTACCTTAACAGATTGATCAAAGGAAGTTCTCCAACAGAAAATAGAAAGAATTTTGTAACATGAGGGAGGAGGAAAAAAACAACAACAGGAAGAATAAAAATAAGATTTTATCCTCTTATCAAACTTATGTTTGACAGTTGAAGTAAAAATTTTAACAACATCTGATGTGGTTCTCAGTGTATGCAGAGAAATATAGAAGATAATTATACACAAAGTCTGGGATATAAAGAAAGGTGAGGATTTTATGTCTTACTTGAGAGAGAAAGCATGTAAACTGTGATAAGTAATGTATATATAATTTAATATAAAAAGCAACCATTTTTAAAACTATATGAAGAGATACATTCAAAAACTGTTTCGAGGGACGCCTGGGTGGCTCAGTGGGCTAAAGCCTCTGCCTTCAGCTTAGGTCATGATCCCAGGGTCCTGGGATCAAGCCCTGCATCAGGCTCTCTACCCAGCAGGGAGCTTGCTTCCTCCTTTCTCTCTGCTTGCCTCTCTGCCTACTTGTGGTCTCTGTCAAATAAATAAACAGAATCTTTAAAAAAAACAAAAAACAAAAACAAAAACTTTCGATAAATAAAAGTGGAATTATAAAATAAGGTTTCAGTAACCCATAGGAAGTCGTGAAAAGACAGAGAAACACAAAATGGAGGGAACAAATAGAAACCAAAAAATAAAAAGGAAGAATTAATCTCTAATGTGTGTCAATAATTACATGAAATGTAAGACAGACAGAGATTTGAAAAGTGGCTTAAAAAGCATGACAATAAGAGAATTTAAAATATACATTATGGCTGAAGATATATGCAAATATTAATAAGAATAAAGTAGAGGTGTTACATTAATATCCTATGAAGTATACTTTGGAGCAAAGAAAATTACCATGGACAGAGGGGGACATTATATAATGATAAAAAGGGTCCATTCAACAGTAAGACATAGCAATGCTAAATTTGTATGCACCAAATAATAGCATCACAATATGTGAAGCAAAAACTAATATAATGGAAGGAATACACAACTCTATAATTATAATTGGAGACTTCACCTCTTTCTTAACAACAGATGAAAAAACTAAATAAAAACCAGCAAGGATATAGGTGGGCTCAACAATAGGAGAGGATTGTTATCCAGTGGGATATAATTGACATTTATTGACTATTATACCTAACAGCAGAATACACATCCACCTCAAGTGTTGATGGAATATATGCCAGGAAATACCATAGCGTGAGCCATAGAAAAACCTTAACAAATTTAAAATAATTCAAATCATACAGAGTTAGTTCTCTGACCACAATAAAATCAAACTAAAAATTGGTAAGAGAGAGAGAGAACAGGAGCAGCTCCAACACTTGGAAACTAAACAACATACTTCTAAACAATCTGAAG